TATATATATATATATATATATATATATATATATATATATTACACGCTAAAAAGAAATAAAGGATTGGTATAACGAAGAGTTTCAATTTATAGATGTGGTCGTACTAGTTCAGTGACACTTGTAGAACTTTATTGCCGTATAGCGCAATAATTCAGCTATAAAGTACGCCGATACTCGTAATAAAAATCTCGGGGAAAACAACTGCGCTGGTTCCGTGATATTCTATCCCTTTCTACATCTGCCTCCATGGCCAGCAGTCTCACCTCAGCATACCATGTGCGCCAGACCTCGACATGGCGACTAATCCTGATGGCAGAATAATTATAGTAGTTAATCCGCGTGAATCGCCCGGACACGTCTAGAGTAAGGCAGGCTTGGGGCAGAAATCCGCAAATAAAAAATGTATCGCAAAGAATGCGCCTGTTCACGATTATGGTCGCAAAACACGTATACACATTCGTACCGCAAAATTGTACGCAAGAATAAATTATACCGCGATATACGAATCAGATATGCGAAACTAATTCGAAATATACGATAAGAAACAAGAACCTTATGATGAAACATGAACAGGAAACATAAAGCTTTCATTTGAATACGAGGTTTTATAAGCCCATCGTTCCATTCCTTTTATGATATCTCCGAGCAGCAGTTGAGCCGCCAATAGCTTCGCGTCGTCTTAATTTAATATGACGTAGCAAAAAATAAGCGTAGCCATGACCCGTCGGCTTTTATTTTGATGTCAACCAATTTATGATCCTATGCGTGATGAATATTCCGTATCAAAGCTACAAACACGCGGCGAGAAGGATTATAGAATATCAGTAAGAAAAAAAGTGGATCGCGTAACTTATTAGGGTAGTGATAATTAAGGGATTATGATTATCTCGTTTTCTCCAACGAAAGGATTAACGGCCTGTTATCTTGATTCATGCATGAGCACGTAGCGATATGGACATCTATACAAAAGCTAATAATACATTAATACTAGGCCCCTAATACAAATAATACATTAATACTAGGCCCCTAATACAAATAATACATTAATACTAGGCCCCTAATACAAAACATTAATACTAGGCCCCTAATACAAATAATACATTAATACTAGGCCCCTAATACAAATAATACATTAATACTAGGCCCCTAATACAAATAATACAAGAACATAAGAGCTTGAAAGAATACATAATAATACAAGAGCTACTAACACAAGACTCGAGTTATAATATAGGTATTATTAGCTCTTGGTCTATACTAGATACAATGGGCAATCACTATAACTGCCGAGTTTCTGGAACGCGAAACTGTTGGGTATTCTGGGAAGCGGTCCGGTATATTGTCATTTATTACCCACGCTACATCGGCTGGGTGTCTTAAAGGCTAGGGTCGTGGGGTTAACTATCACGTGCAGCTGATATGTACATGTTTTTTGTCGAGTGGTTGGAAACATTTAAAAGCGTACGACAGATGGCGTCACTACTAAAATATATTTTGCAAATCGATCGATGGGGAGGCGTTTGCGTGAAGCTTCCACGTTTGTAACTATGCGGCAACAGGGAGCGGGGGAGCGGCTGCTGCAGCCACACCGCACTATACGATGATGTCATCATTATTCTAGGCAGCAATGGCGAATTTCTGCTAGTTCGGCTGGCGAGACGGGCGTTTTCGTTGCAGCTAGCATGACCATAATTCGGTAGAATCATGTCGGTTGCTGGCACTGGGGAGCAAGGAGGCGACGGGGAGGCGCAGGAACCCCGGGAACACGGTAAGTGCGAAAACCATAACAGCTCGTCCGGTTCGCAAGAGATCGGCTAGCTGCTAGACTCCGCACCCGGCGCGTACGGCGCTCATCGTATAATAAAACCCGCTTTCGGAGAATTAATTAATGACTATAACGTTTACTGTTTCCTGGTACGCGACGTGGGCTCGATGAATGGTTCGCTGCGCAAGGCCGTTGGCGGCGAGTTACGCTGTCTAACGCGTCGATTGTTTATACGCGAAAAAACGCAGTGCCCAACCCCGGCAAGAAGCTGGAGCATATGGCTTCATTCTAATAAAATGATTCGAATGTACAAGAAACATATATGCAGCTTAGTTATACGTATCACCTTATAGACAGGATGTGCGATGTAAGAATATCTAGATCTGGTTATCCATCCATCCATTCATTCGTTCATTCATCCATCCATCCATGCATCCACCCATTTATCTATCTATCAATCTGTCCGCCACTCCATCTGCACGTGTGTGAGTGAGTGTTCGTGTGTCTATGTGTGGTGGGGGCGGAGGGGGGGGGGGCAATGCGTACGTCCGTGTATGCATCAATACGTGTTCATCATATTACTATTAGAGCGCACAGATGAATAGCTTGGTACTGTATTGCTGTTTGGTGTTCAACATGGCTGCGCTAAACTCTTGCAGAACTTTCAGACCTCCAGTCTGACCTGCTCCTTGCTGCCGAGCTTGGCAAGACACTGCTAGAGAGAAACAAGGAGGTGGAGAATGCACTGAGGCAGCAGACACAGCTCAGTGAAGAGCAGGTTCTTGAAATAGAGGTGGGCACTAACACACTAACATGGGCATATCTCACTCTCTTTCTCTCTCTCTCTCTCTCTCTCTATATATATATATATATATACCTATACATCTAGTGTACAGATTCATTAATGGTACTGACCACAGTCTGTAGATGAATGAACTTACTTCCCTGAACCTTAATTCTCCAACTTTGTGCAATGTTGCAAAATATTCTCACATTATTTTTATGCGGATTCCTCTATTTTTAGCTCACCTTGACATCGTCAAGATGAGCTATTGCCATGGGTCATCGTCCATATCGTACGTCCGTCCATCCGTCCTTCCGTCAACATTTGGCTACGGTCAACGATAGCTCAGGAACCGTTTGACCCACATGTTTGAAATTGGGTATAGTTATTACTGCTATGAGAGAGGTTTGAACGTCCTATTTTGGAGCACGCCAGTCGACGTACTTTCGAGCCACGGCAATTTTTTGGCAAAAATGGAAATTGCCATTAGTCAGTTAAGGTTCAACGGATTTTGCTCATTTTTGGTGTGTGAATGAATAAGGGCTGGCCCCAAAACGTATTACAAGGGTTTTGATATTTAAAAAAAAATAATGCAAATTAGGTAGGTTCTGGCAATTATATAGCATATTATATAGACACGCAGATAACAGTCTGTGATGTCACGCTCGTCTGGTTCGTTTTACAAGATTTCAATGACAATATCTTTAATGCAAAATTAGTATTTCCTCTCCACCCTGCCGATAAAACGTCTATATTAGAGTAAAGTTTTACAAAACATGTCAGAACGCAGCATAACCTATTTATTTCGAACGCCATTGCTAAGAAACATCAAAGCGGGTATAGCGCCATCTACCGTCACAAATTTTGATTCATTTTGGTTTATAAATTATTATTGCGATATACAGATGGCAACCGTGTGCTACCGCCTAGTAAAACTCATACGAAGTGAACACTTCCATGCAACCAATTAACCTTTGACAAAAGTTGTGTTATGGGCAGGGAAACACCATTGTCACGTGGTATATAGCAGCTACGTGGAATAAGCGTATCCTCTCAATCTTACACGTTACACATCGGGAGCTCCGCTTTTAGGCGATGCCTAAATCTGGATATTATAAAAACGTTACCGCCTTGCTAGCTCCAAGAAACCGTCTTGCTAAGGTTTTTTTTGGGGGGGGGGTTGCGATTTTGTAGTACATATATTACTAGAAAGTAGTTATTTTATGCTAAGAACAATGAAGGAATGAATTTTAATACCTTTAGTATAGTACCACTAAATACTGTTAAAACTGTGTTGGCTAAACTGCCCCCCCCCCCACTCGGTGCACTTGTTCCCATTCACTCATTTGTGCATTTTTTGTGGTGAGCTACAGTGTCATTGACACTTTCATTCCAGTTTCTCACTAAGCAGATCGAGTCCATACGAGAGTGGAATGAGTCTAGGCTGAAGGTGTATGAACAGCTGGACAACACAGTGCATGAGCTTGAGAGCAGAAACCAACAGTTAGTGCAGGATGGCCAGGCTGACAAGCACAAGATTCAAAGGTGTGATTCACCTGAGCACATGTGTTCAATTCATTGGCAAACTTAATAATTATTCGCTCAAAATTAACATAGCTATGTAAAACAAAGATTAACTGGGCCCATGTGTTAGATATGCTAGCATTGTTTAACAATGCAAACTTGCAAGTTGTTAAGTAAAGTGTGGCTGCAGAAAAGAGCAAGAGCCAATTCCGTGCATGACAAGTGAGGGGCGACCTGCTAGAAATCGGTGAGTACACGTAACTATTGCAGGATAACGGGCACCGTCGTGGGGCTGGAGAAGCAGGTGGAGGAGCAGCAGATGCAGATTGCGCAGCTCCAGGAAGCCCTCAGGGAACACAAGAAACAAGAGCACAAGTTCAAGCAGGCTTCGCGCAGCACGGAGACGAGCAGCACGCTGCGCAGATACCACAGCTTCGAGAACGGATTCCTAGAGAAGATCACCGATGCTCCTGACAACCCGTACGAGGCCGAGATCAGCAGGTACCGTGTTTTCACGCAGAATCGCACGCTTGCTTAGGTATAAAAAAACTTCCTCCGTGCACGGATAAACAACATAAACAACATAAACAACATAAACATAACTAAGATCAGCAGGTACTGTGTTCTCACTCGGTATCGCACGCTTGCTTAGGTATAACAAAACGTCCTCCACGTACCGATAAACAACATAAACATAAACAACATAAACAACATAAACATAAACAACATAAACAACATAAACAACATAAACATAAACAACATAAACAACATAAACAACAGCTAGTGAGATGTGTCATCATTATTAGGACTTGACCTCAGCTACTAGGTGTCCACTCTGACATTTATCACGTTCAGGGCAAATAACAGGGCAAATAACACTGCAGATTGATTCGAATTTTCAATTTTTCTGGCAACAAATCTTGTCGAAACAAACGAGTCTTGTTTGTTAATCTGCACCCGCATAAAACTTTCATAAGTTGCGAATCTGTTAATGGCTACCTGTAGTGGACGCACGTCGTTCTCTAGCGCGAATGTCGTTTCTTTCACGTTAACAGGTTGAAGGACAGCGTAAAGTATCTGCGTGGCCAGCAGACGACGGAGAAGCAGAGGCGCGAGGTGCTTCAAGAGGAGCTGTCGCGCGCTGCACAGGAGAACCAGGCCCTCGAGAGCAAGCTTGCCGACATCGAGTCCAAGTACGAGGAGAAGATGTCCAACCTGCAGTCGGAGCTGCAGGCCGTCGAGATCAGCTACGGAAAGTTCTGCGCAAAATGCAAAAACACGCTGGACGACGGCGCCCGCACGTTCGCCGCCCCGGACGACGAGAAACTGGACCTGGAGCAGGAGCTCGAGGACGAGGGGCTGCGGGAGATTCGGAACCCGGAGGCGCTGCGGCTGCAGAGCGGCGGCCTCGTCTACGGCAGCCGCGACACGTTCGCGCGCGGCGGCGCGATGCTGCAGTCGGTCGGCGCTCAGCCGCTGCTCAGCGAGATACACTCGCACTACCGCCGCCTTGTCGACAAGTACGAGGAGATCCTGCAGCGCAGCGGCCGCAAGAGCTACCTCGGCACGTCCACCGACGACCTCCTCAAGCTCGTCTGCAAGGAGTGCTACACAAGTGAGGAGGGCGCGCCGCTGATCAACACTGGCGCGCAGACCGATGGCTGCGCGCGCGCCACCTGCGCAGGTAGCGGTCTATACAAGAACCCGATGATCGCGCAGTCCGACTCGCACATCGTTGAGAAGCGCTTCGAGCACGCTCCCGCGTACCGCAAGCTGTTTGCAGAGATATTCGAGACGCTGCGCCGGCAGTACCTAGTCGAGAACCCGGTGCCAACGATGGCTAGGGTCGCGGGTCGGCCCGCCTCGTACTACGGCGGCAAGCTGTAATGGTTTGCCAGCAGCCGTGCACATAACTTGCTTGAGTAGCGCGTATTTAACACGCCTTTGTGTGATGAGTACACTGCAACTGGGTAGAGATTGGGGTGACATACATTTTCGCACATTGATTTTCCGTGCCAGGAGAAGAAATTGAGGAATATTCGACCCAGTAATCGGGGACCACTATCTTTACATGATAAATCTCTCTTATTGAGCATTGGCGTACTACTAAAATGATGTTAATGGTAAACATTCCATATTGATAACAACTTGATAAGTTTGTAACTTACACAGAGAAATGTATGCACGTTATAAACATAACTATCTAAATATTACATTAAATAGTAGTAACAGGTAGACATACTTATCCAAAAGCCACTTGGGAATACTAAATATTGTAATGAAAGTCTAAGAGAGTGCCAAAAGTGCCATCAAACGCAGGACGCACTAACAATGTACGTATATGACATGTTTTGGCTCGACGGAAATGTGCTGATCTACTGAGGTAACATTAGGTATACATGGCCCAATATACAGAATATCTGTGTTTCAGATGTGACTGTGCTAATTGACAAGGGGATCAGTTCCCAAAGTTGCCGAGAGGGGAAAATCTTCCTGAAGGATAGAACAGCCAAGTGCGAACATTTAAAGTGTGATGTAAAGAGAATAAATCTGCCGTGATTTATTAATTGTAGTGGCATTGAGTTATTGCACAATGTGATAGCAGTAAGAAGCAGTTGTGATTACTGAAGATAAAAAGATCGTCACATAATTGTTACGTAAAAATTTTGTATCTAAACAAATATTTATTGATGTTCTAGAAGAATGACCCCTTTTTGATGTTACCTAGATTTTAAGCAAACAAATATTTATCAACTTGCAAATTTATCATTGCAAAGTGTACCACACACAAATGCTTACGCTTCCAATGGTATGATCTAAAAATTGAGTAGCTATATGCTTATCTAGTCAATACTTAATGTAATCTATGTGCCTGCCAAAACATGCAAATAAAATATTATAAATAAAGAAAAATTGATATTATCATGAGTATCTATGACCAATGACCATTCATGTGCCCTAATTTGTTATTGCATCAACTGAATTTATATGAAACCTATTTCTTTAATTAAAATATTACTTTTTTTACTTTTTTTACTTTTTTAAACTCTTTTAAAGTAAAATATCTATACTATTATACGATAAGCTCGCCGAGGTTGTGCTCGCAAAAACTTTTCCCCCCACGCTGTTCGCTTGCGTCGCCCGTCGCCATCGCACCGATAATTGCGTGAGCAGTGTCTCCGCTATTCCATTTGCCGCGGGGACGCGTCGTCGTCGAAAAAACTGCTAAAATGCTCAAAAAATTCCCGTCAGAGGTCATAAATCCGCTCGCGAGAACGGCCCGGCATAGCTTTGCAAAGCGCATTACGCTTCGCCTATATATACGTACGTGTGGGGGGGAGTAAATCCGCGTGCGAGCGGGGCCGCGGCGAACAGCCAATCAGCATGCAAGACGCAGCGTCATGTTTGGTACAGAATGAAGCCGTGCAAATTTTTGTTACCCTGGCTAAACATCATTTCTTCATCACAACCTCAGCGTGGATGAATGGTAGAGTGCTCGCCTCGCATGCCGAGATGATGAGAGAGAGAGAGAGAGAGAGAGAGAGAGAGAGAGGAGGAGAGAGAGAGAGAGAGAGAGAGAGAGAGAGAGAGAGAGAGAGAGAGAGAGAGAGAGAGAGAGAGAGAGAGAGAGAGAGAGAGAGAGAGAGAGAGAGAGAGAGAGAGAGAGAGGACGAGAGAGAGAGAGAGAGAGAGAAGCAATATGAGAGATGTCACCCGACTATCCTCACATCAGCATATTCACGCGCACATGTACATAGACGAATACGTTTGGCCCGTGTACAGGCATATACGAAGGTACGTACAGAACGAACCCGTGCAACTTCAACGCAGTACGTCATTAGAATTCGGCTTTTCACCTCACGCACACGCACAGAGAGAGAGAGAAAGAGACATCAGTCTTTAACGTCTGTTTTACCTTACAAGATATTATACTTTTTTGTTTACTTCTTGGATATTGCGATCATGTTTTGATGATGCCTGCATAAATGCTAGAGGCCCGTGATTCACGGGCCGCATTTGGCCGCAGTATATCTTAATATACATCTTAATTTACAGAATAACATGTTTCATGTATAGGTCCATCAACGTGCAATGTCTCCACAATTTTAATTAATGCTCCATGGAATACCTTATTACATATGAAAATATATAACACACGTACTCACTCGTATAACAAATTTATGAAACTAGAACTAGTCATTCTAGATGAATGTGTTTCAAGTATTCACCCGTTATTTTCCGATTTTATAACCTTGCACTGTTTCTTTCCATATGGGCAGATATCTCTGTTGAGGCAAGTTGCACACTTGGGGTTGACAGGACAGCAAGTCTGCTGGCCAAATCCCACCATTAGCAGGTTAACGTCATCCCACATTTCCCTGTATAGCAAATCACACTATTATCATAAATTTCCTTGAGATTTTCTCTTATTATTTATGCAAATCCATGTTTTAATAAGTTCCTTCGTTTCTGTCGACAAGACTTGTTTGAAAAAATTTAGACTATTGAGTGTTAATTACCATGTAAGTTAATTAATTGTGCAAAACTTAAAATGCAGATACAACAGATTAGTAGCTCATTCAGAAAAATATAGCCATACCTAGGTAGCCAATCTTCAAGAGCTTTCCTTGTAGCTTCTGGCCTGGTTGTGGGTTTCGAAACCCAGCCCAGCCTGTTTGATATCCTGTGTACATGTGTGTCTACACCTGCAAGCAAGGGAAAACCAACTTGCATAAACCTCATTAATAAGTCTCGGTAGTATTTCTGCAAGTAACTCCCACCTAACACACAAATCTAGAGTAAATAGCAGTCTTAATTTGTAACACGTACCAATACCAACTGTCTGTCCCCACGCAATATGCATGACAAGGTATGCCATCTTTGGTCCAACTCCTGGTAGCTTACAGAGTTGTTCCACAGAACTGGGAATATCCGTGTTGTATTCCTCCTTTAATACCATGGCAGTATCTTTGATGTACATAATCTTCTTCTGTAAATTTAATGATGTAGGAGGATCACTGGATCAGTATATTAATAGTAGTGTTGTCAATCGGTTGTAATTTCGTAACCGATGATCGGTTACAATCGGTTACTCGGGGTGTTGAATGCCTGCGTGTGCGTAACGTCGTGTGCATGTACGTGTGTGCACGTATGTGCTTGTTTAGCCCTGTTTACTGTTTGTTTTGCACTGTTTACTACTGTGTGTATAATACATATATATGTTAATAAAGGATAACTTGTATAGTAGCGATGATATCTCTGATTCTCATCACTTTTCCAAGTTTTCTTGTTCAAGTTAAAAAGAAAAAGAAAAAAGGATTATGGATTTTGATAACCAAGCGCTTGGTTCGAGCCACTGTTCAACCATGATCAAGTATAATCGATGATCGTGACATCACTAATTAATAGTGTATGCGACACTGTGCAGCTATGACACCAACGGTAGTGTATGTCATCTTAACCGAAAACAGCACAATATGAAAGCAATGCAATCTGCAATATACACGGACAATCGCCCTATTAAAAAAACGCCAGGTGGAAGCAATTTCATAATAATCTCAGAAACCTTTGTAATAAGCAACTCTTGAACCGGATCACAGACACACGCACACGCACACGGCGCACGCACACGCACACGCACACGCACACACACGTACACAACTCGATAGGAGTACTGTGCAGACAAAGTGACGACACTAATAAGGAATGCAGAATCACTCCTTTGTGACTATAGTCAGATTTCATAGAACTTATTCAGAGATGCAAAAGTGAAGTAAAAATATTAAAAAGGTAAACTGAATGGTGAAGTCAGGGATGTACGTGTTGACGTATTAACCATGCAGCTCTACAAGTCAAGAAGGACATTGTGCCAGAAGCCAAATGCAAATAACTAAATGTGTAGTTTAAAGCGGGTACCAAGTATAAGCATCAAAGAAATCCCACTCTTGGCTGAAGGCACTTCAGTTCACTTCATACACATACGTGCGCAGATCACGTACAACCACAAATCAGCAATCACACAATGAGTTGTATCTGTACATTTCTGTATAAAATGAAAGGCAAGTTTTGACATATGTCTCATGCAGTACTGGAAATAGATTCATGTACATACTGACCTTCCAAAAACCAACAGGATAAATTAGTTCTCCAAGCCTTTTATCAGGCGTTTGTATAATATTATCAATGGTCAGTCCATGAACTTTAAGCCTCCTCATGGCTGCTGCAGTTACCCCATCCTTTGTCTGACTTGACAGCATTAAGGATACAAGCACTTGATAGCGAAACACCTGCCAAAGGAGAATTATTAAGTTTATATAAAACAATACCGGCCATACCTTTTGAAACATCTGCTATACGGTGAATAACAGTTGGACTTCTAGGGTTATGGTAAGCATCAGGGAAAGCGTTTTGTAAAGTTTAATCTCGAGGTACACCACAATTATTCTAGGCAATGGGTATATGGCAAAAGTTATACTGCTGTAACAACAACTGGAAATTATAAGGCATATGTAATTTAGGCAATTAAGAGATGCCGAGGATATATAGAATGTGGCAAATTAGCTTAACCTTTGAAGGCATGTCCAGGGGTAGAAATAAGGAGAAAAAAAACAGATGGATCCACAAGAACATCTAGTTTGAAATTTAGATAGTCCTCCTAAATTTTAGATGGTCCTCCTAAATTTCAAATTGTTCTCTAAAAGTAGCTGCTCTAGGAGCTGAACCCCTTCCATCGTCATTATTTTAATTTAGATGAGTCATGAAATGTGTACCACGCCTAGGAATTTGCTCAGGCAGCAGCTCTAGTAATGCAGGCAAGATTGAGTACCTCGGGCGGAGCGAATTTGTCAGGCAATGCTTCTGCACCCATGCTATCTACTGGAGCATCTCTGTTCTTTCTCATCTCCCTCATGTTTGCCAGCTGTTGCTGCCAGTTTGCTGGGTGCCATTGTTTGCATTTTTCATGTTTTACCCTAGTTTGAGGCAGTTCAGTGACTGTTATACGAGTCACTTGGTTAGCATTACTAGCACTGCTAATCCCAGTAGACGCCACCATTTCGTTTTCGGGTAACATTGGTTCCATCTTTATTTTTTGGCTAGTCTTGTAATTGTATAATTTTGGTTTTTTACCCGTTTTACTTTCAAATTCTATCAACGTTTCAGACGTCGCTTCAACTTTTAGATGCATCCTTTTCCTTATTCTCTTCGGTAGAGTTTCTAATTGAGATTTTGTAACATGATGATGATCATCTGGTAACATCTGGTGCATTTCCTGTTGTACTACTGGCATCGCATTTGTTTTCTTTTTTCTTGTTGTTGTTGATCTTGTTACACGAGGCGTGAAATATGGCGATTTCAAAGACATTTTATACAAGTTAAATATGATTCCTTTCATTAATGACCCAATGGTAGTAACGAATCACAACAAATACATATAATCTAAGATCTTATATATTCCATGCGGACTTTGATACAACAAGTTCAACTATAGATATAGAAGCAGATAGATATATAGATATATCTTCTTCTATGGTTCAACAAGCAGCCGAGCAACAAAACACAAATACTCCATTTTCAAGTCATGCGACCATGATTTATTAGCATGCCACAGACTAACGATATTACTCTGTGATATTACTTTTCGCGCCACGTGATGTCATATAGCTTCACACCAATGAAAATCTTTTCTCATCACCATAATCTCAAATTATGATTTTATAAAAACTGACTTAAGCAAAATAAATTAACGCTTTGTGCTTTTACAAATTATTATTATTTAACAGACAATTTTTATTTTAGATTATATATTTTATACATATAGTTTATTCCTAAAGAGTGTGATATTTTATTTACATTACGTAAGATGAGGTAAATAAAGTCACCATATTGGGTCGCGAACTTTCGCAGCAAGTAACGTGCTGCGTACTTATTTTCTGTGACTCCAAATTACTGTGCTATTTGTGATTTTGTGCAATCACAGAGCATGAACACAATGCCAAAGACGGGAATAATCCTGTTTACAGGCAATTCCCACCGAGAGCTTGCACAGTTAATTTCAAGGTGAGAAAATTAATTGGATACTAACCGGCTATCACTATCAGTATCACTATCAGTATCACTGTATCACTATCAGTATTGACTACAGACTATACTCCATAAACTATAGTCTATAGACTAATAAACTCTAGACAGTAGACTATAGACTCTATAGACTGATAAAATAAGATAAGATAAGATAAGACTAAGAGCAAGAGTTTATTTTCTCACTTTCAATATCATTAATCATTATCAGCAAATACAAATTACAAGGAATTGAAGGATTTTTTTAACAAAATATAACTATTAATAATACTATTACTAAGTATTAAGGCCGACCTAAAAATTACCTTTGCCTTTGGTTCGCCGTTCGGGTCACCCGCCCGACTTCACATTTCGGAGTGATAAAATGTGCGACTGCGGTCACTTTTAGAGGGTTTCAAGAAAAAATAAAATTCAAAAGATACCGCCTTGCCGATCATACATCATTCAAATATCCGACTCTTAGTCATTTTATTACCTAAAGGAGAGTTCCAAAAATATTATAAAAATAGACACTCGTTGCAGCGAAAAGTGAAACAGTTCCTACCCACGTTTCCATAGAATCCTACAAACGTAAACACAGTCGTATAGAGCCTGCGGCCGGGCCCGACGCCGAACTACGTTACATAACACAGAGGCCTGAAGGTCGTTATGAGCGCAGCGGAACCGGCTTTGATCTCGCAGATCGATCGCGTACTATTATATATAACGCAATGCTAATCGTGCTATACGCCGGCCAGAGAGCGTTTACACTTCGGTACTTCGCATGATTCAAAGTGGACGATTAATCAGAGCTCGCGTTTGGAGAGGACGATTCCTAACACTACTAGCCAGTACACGACACGAATACCAGTACAGACGACACCAGTAAACGAACTGGTCGTTCACATTTTGAAACACAATGTCAAATGACTTGCAAGGCAATGGACCAATGGTACATGCAATCTGCCCAAGTCATTATTGATCTTCGTGGCTCCTGCCATTTCAGCTGTATACCCTATATATTATAAGCCTCACCAAATGCCGCATCCAAACGCTAAAACTTCTCCAGTACTAGACTAGCAACTCTTTGTGGCATGCATAATCACAGACTACCTTATGACAAAATAAACTCTAGTTCCTCCGCATTTGAACTAGCGCGTTTTTCCCAAACAAGAAAGAGTCGTGCGAATCGGTAATCAGGCGCCAACAGTAAATTGTTGTCATAACAAAATAGCAATCGACTTGGTTTGGTGACGTCTACATGTTGCTACAGGGTGTTGAGCAAGGAATTGTTTGTCCCGCGATAAACTGTTTTGCATAGTGGCGACAGTGCATCAAGATAGTTGTAGTATTCGTGAACTGTAACATCTGTATATGTAACTATCAAAGACTATTAAAGGGACCTACGTCTACGAATTTTCTATGGTAAATATTTGTAAAAAAAAAAAGTGCCATTTTTACATTAAAAGTAAGAACTAACGTTACTAAGATATATCCTCAAAACTCTCACCTGATAAAAATGTTTTTACGTTGGTTAAATTTGCAAAAATTCTAGACGATTTGTAATTTCTAGTTGTCTAACACTATTCCCCCAGTACTGTTCAGATACTGGCGTTTCTCTGTTTTTCACCGGCAAATTAGGGATATAAAGAAGGTATATAAGCATGAAAAGTAAACAGAAACACTAATTGTATTTTCATACATTTTATTTTGTACAAATAACACCAAATGTACTACTTGACTGGTGCTAGAAATTCGTGACTAATCCTTTAAGAAAGTATTTATAGGCAGCGTACATAAACGTGAAAATAACGTATTGATTTAGGCTTGATATCGGCTAACAGCGCGAACATTGCGCTAGCAGCCGGCAAGCGAAAACGCACACGGGCCGTAGAAACTTTGCTCACGCCGCTGGACGGTTGCCTGCAGAGCAACGCAAAGTGTCAACAACATCGCGAGAATTTGAACAACAGTGGAGATATTTCAAATACCTTTTATAAGACATCGCGCAGTGAAATGGGAGGCACTTAGAGTTTATTTTGTCATAAGGTAGTGTGATTATTCATGCCACGAAGTATTTGCTAGTCTAGTACTGTAGAAATTAGCGTTTGGATGCGCATTGTGAGGCTTTAACTTGTGAAAAAAAAAATTTATATTCCTGCCTACCCATGTTTTTGCAGGAAAAAAATAAAAATAAATAAAAATGTTATGCCTACCTACCGACCCTAATTTTCACAATCCATGTGACCCGAACCAAAGGTATTTTTTTGTTTGGCCTAACGTGCAGTGAGGGGATGGCGAAAAGACCATACCACAGGCACTTGGAACGTCTCAATAAAAAAAAATAATGGTAAATAAACACGAAATGTACCAGTCTTAATGTTTCTCTACTCTATTTCGCCTATAATCACCTGTAAATGCTGGTGAAATGCTCATCTGCAACACACAAGTACACCGAACGCCCGCCTGCGCTGTGCTGCGTGCACAAACAACATGAATAAGAGAGCAGGTAGGAAAGCGGGATTGAAAAATTCGTTCGACGCTCGCTTCATTTCACACCATCACAGCTCGAATACACATCCTACAGCTTCCATCTTGGTATCTATGTGTACATAAATGTTTACTTGTTCTAATTATAACTCTGGCCTTTGTTCTTACCTACTCCCGCCAGAGATATCTCGTGAAATCCTGCAGGAAATGTTCTCTCCGTAACCGAGCTGTACGTGTCTCGCAAAATCACACAAACTGACAAAGCCTGACGAAATTCTCGCGTTTGCGCCCATTGCGCAGTTTATGTAAATGGCTGCAAGTACAGGGCTATAGGCGGCGCACTGCATTTTGAGAAACTACCACGCTGCTTTCCAACTCCCGTACGAGCCTCGTCAAAGCCGCCAGTGGAGCGTTGCAAAAATGATGCCACGAAGAGCGCCAGTGGGTGTTTCCCAGCCATTTACATAAACTGCGCAACGGGAGCGAACGCGAGGATTTCGTCAGGCTTTGTGTGATTTCGCGTGACACAGCTTGGTTACGAACACAGACAGTATGTTTTTATAACAAGTGAACACTGTCCTTCAAATAGAAACAAAGATGGAGTGGAATGGTTGAATGTTTGTGTTGTATTTGCGTGTAATCAAGCGAGCGCCGAGCGAATTTTGGCAGCACGCTTTCCTACCTGCTATATATTTATGTGTCAGTGTGCAGCAGCTAGCGTGCGGCGGCCAGCGTGTGTTGCAGATGAGCATTTGGATGGCATTTACAGGAAATTGTTGGCAATAATAGGTGAAAGAGAGTAGAGAAATAATAGGCGAGTTCACACACAAGAAAAACCGCGCTGCTCAGCCCGCTGATAGCGGAGATAATAGTGAGCTAATTGTGTCGTTGTTCACACAGGCGAATATCTCGCTAATCTCCGCGGTGCAAATATCACGCCGCGGTGCAAATGAGCGCGCTGATTCCAAATTAGTGCAGTCGGAAGTGTTCTTTGCAGCGCGCTATTTTGAGCGCGATTTAGTGAGCTAATTGCGTTCACACTTGTAAAAAGCTCAGTTTTTCGAGCGGGCTGCAAAAACCGGGTTTTGCAGCCCGCTAATTCGCGCCAGTGTGAACGCACCTATTGAGACTTTGGTAGTCTGGATCTGGATCTGGATGGTATTCTGCGTAGCCCACGGTTACGTGGATAATAACGCAGGGATAGCTATAGGGAATGCTATAGTTAGCCATGGGGTGTGACCTAGCTTGGGTAAAGCCAGGTAGTTAGCCCTTAGCCAAATGGCAATGAGGGTGGTCACAGCCAGAGTTTTTTTTAGCTCATCTGACATAGTCAGATGCAGCTTGTAGAAATGCATGATCGTCCGTCCGTCCGTCCGTCAACAGTTGGGGACAAATCTTAACCGCTCGACGTACGGTCACGATATTTGGCACACATCGGGGGGGGGGGATCGTCAAAACGAGTTGGGATGTCGAAGCTGCGGGTCAAACATCAAAGGATGAGAGGTGTAAAAGAAGGGGGAACATTCACTCCTTAACTTAAGGTATAGGGAGGAAATGCAGAATTGCGGCACAAATCTAAAGGTCAATGGGGCACAGGGCAGATTTTAGACATTTTCTGAGGACATGGTCTGACGGAGCGATTGAAAAACTTTTTCGTTTCAGCGGTGGCCTACCATTTTTATGGCTTTATTGAAAGGACCATGAAATGTACTTTCTGCTGACATGCGAAGAGTAAGTGTCGGATAACCTTTTGACCCTCAAGAGGAGGGTTAAACATGGATTTGTTTACTGTTAGAAAGAATTTGACTGCCGGGTTTGCTAGTAGAATCTATACATGCCTGAATGTATGAGGCTACAATGTCACAGTGAAATTTCAAAAGCTAAATTTGGTTGAAGAAGGTTTATGCTCCTTAAACTGTTAAATCGTATAATTTCTGTGGCATTCTGTACTGTCAGTATGTTACATGTAAATTATGCCACTGCCAGTGGCCACTGTCAGTGCATGTGGTGGTGGTACTGTCACTACTGTGTAGTTTTTACCTGCGTTAATTGGTTACAGGTGGCAGCTCTCTATTGCAGCCTGTAGGCTTGCATAGGTAAATGGATGAGTGCTTACCTATTCTGTCTTGCAAATAGTTGTTGCTACTACGTATGATGGGAGCTTCCATCTTTAATCTGAAGACACTTAGACGTACGCGCCATCTCGTGGCAACTTTCATAACGATCCCAACGAACATTCCTTTGAGTCTTTGAGAAGGTTCCTGATACCATCCCTGTGCATTCCACTGTTTCGGCGTGTATGTGAACACATTTGGGACTAACAGGGTTTACTAGAATCCCACCACTCCACCACAGAGTCACTGCAGTAGACGTTAGATGAGCGCTGTCGCTCCGCGGCACTTTTGTCCGTTGCTCTTTCAGCAGAGATGGAATCTGTAAATGAAGGCACTGTGCCTACCACTGTACCAGGCAATACATTATAAACGTCCTACCATGTACAAAATGTTAAG